CAGTGCTCTGGATGCTGTTCCCTGTGCTGTGGTGGGGTAATCAACACCACTGGGCTGGCCAGGTGCCTGGGACCTTCCAGGCTGTCAAGGAAGGGAGTAATTGGCCTGGTGCCCAGGGACCTTGAGGCCAGTAGGGAAGGGAAGAAGAAATCTGTTTGTTTCATCTGCTCGGTGCACAGGACCTTTGGAACCTGATACTGAGGGGAAGGACATCGAATATGTGATGTACTCAGTCCCACAGAATGGCTGCTTGCCTCACAAAATGGTGTTCATTATGCTAAATGCACTTAATTACTAGGTTGGGACTGACCAGGGGATACTGGTCACAGTTCCTTTAAGAATGGCTTTACATACAGGCAGTGTTTTAATGTCTTTTAATAAAATATTAACAATCTATTTTTGTTTTGTCTTCACTCTTTATTGGTTCAGCTTTTATCTCAGCTATTGCCTCACCAGAGGTTCTTTGAACAATTAAAAATGTGTAATTATAGATGTGTAAAATTTTCTTTTCTCCTTGATACAGTTATTTCTCACCTGTATTATTGCCCTCTGTGGACAGAGCTGCTTTCTCCTTTAGCTTTCTTTAACCTTCCTGCCAGACAACGAAAGCCTGTCTTGCACTATAAGGTTTCTAAGCTTTTGCAGCCAGTAGTAGCTCTAAATTAATATTCTGACAAATGTCGTGGGCTTAATTTGTTCTATACTTCCTCTGTTAAATAGACCAGAATACCCTGCAGAGTCAAACATGAATGAATGAGACAAAGACTTTGTGCAGCTCTGGAGCATTTGGCTGTCAACTACTACATGAAACTGCTAGGCAATCTACTTTGTGAGGCAGACATGAGATTACATGCTGAGCATTGAATTTAGCACAAATAATTTAGTTAATCAGGAAAAGCAACTTGTTTGCTAACATTCTGAAATACATTATTCTGTAATTCAAATTCAAATGTAAAATACTATTAACATTCCCATAAGAAATTACATTTGCAACAGTTTTTGGTAAAAGGTTTGGGGAGAATCAACCTGGAGTTAAGTTTCTGATTGGCGAATTTTCAAACTCCTCTGGTGCCTTGGCAAGGAAGCCCTGCTGCCTTCAGACCCATGAGTGTGGTTCAAAGGTAACTCCTAGTGTTTTCTCCCTCCCATCAGAGGCTACAGAAATAGTTCACCTAAACAAAACAAGCAGGCTGATGTTCCAAAAATGCTTATCAATGCTGAATCAGGGGTTTTAAAATGTTTTCCACTATAAAAACAAACATACAAAGAAAACTCAATACTGAGAAGTATTTGCACCAATAGAAACAAAAATCCATCATTGTGCCTCAGAGCAACAAGTATGTGGAATGATGCATGCTGTTAATATTGCAAAATCAACAGTTGTCTCTGCTTTCTTGACAGTGATTTTTTCCAGTGAGTAAAGCTTTTTATTTGTATAGATGATTATTTCTGCTCCCCCTTCCCCAGTTTGCTAACTCTGCATTTTTCTCAGAGTGTCTAAATCACAGCTTATGAAATATTGCTAGTTGTTCCCTGCAGGGCTCTCCCAAGAGCCACAGAAAACTTCCACTTAATGTTCATAGCCTTAGCAGCATAATACTGTGTTATATAAAAGGGCTTTTAGTGCAGGAAAATGCTTCTGAAAGATGACTGTCTTCACCTTTGTACTCAGTTTTGTGAGATGTGTAGTGATTATGCAGCAATTGCTTGAAATTATATAGCAAAAAAGATGGAAAACATTTTACATTTTGCTGTCATGATCTATGTTGCTTTACTTTTCTGTCTTCCTATACAATAAAAAAAGGCATTTTCTACGATAAATTTTCAGGAAAGTTTTAAGAATTAGTCAATTTATTTCCTACATATTAACTCAATGCTGAATGAAGTTCAGGAAAAAATACAAAGCAGATACTGAAGGTTCATAATTTAGAACAAATACTTTCTGTAACACAAATAATGCAGGAAAAGGAAATTCTGTTCCTTAGACATGCTATATAAGCATGCATATATGTAAGAGGTCTTAAAAATCAATCAGAAAGGGCTCAAGCTATGGTATTTCAAGAAAATGTGTTTTATTTGCATTGGTTTTCAACAAACATGAAAGTTCAACATTTGATTTTACAAAGGCCACTAAATCACAGTATTTTAATACACAAATGAATTGCCACTTCATATTACTTTATTTTAAAGTTACTTACAATAAATGTATTTTTCTAGGTTTTGTTTATGAAACAGTTTCCCTCCCTTACTTTGAAGGCATGTCAGGTTTACTCTTTTTCATCTGATTTAATCATGCATGATAATGTAAAACTGATGTAAACCCTACATAAAAATAGAAGTGTCAAAGCCTGGGAGACAGAAAATACTCACTTAAATGCAGCAAGGATTTCAGCCACACCTGCTGAGACCACTTACATTTTCTTGCTTCACCTCCCTTAAAGTTCATTCTGTTTCAGATTTCAGCTTCCTGAAAGAAATGGACTGTCTCTATCACAACGAACTTTTTACACCTTTTATACACCACAGGTGGTTCAGTAGTCAGAGAGAAACTTGGCCACAAGCTCAGGTTTCATCCTTGTAGGTTTGGATTGGGGTTGGTTTGTTTGTTTCCTCCTGCTGCATCTTCCCCTACTGTATGTTCAGTCACTTTGAAATACCAAAGTTAGCATTTTGAATTAATTGCTTGTCTGGCTCTGATGCAAAGAACTTGGCTGGATTATTTGCCAGCTTTCCAGTACCTTTGGTCAGATTGCAGTGCATGTAATTTTAATTTCCTTGGTGTATGGAATGATTTTCTAATAGAAAAATTAAATTTGGTGGATGCTATGTTAGGAATACAGTAACTCACCTCGGTCCAGCCATGTTGTGTGAACTCTAGGTGGAGAGCAAACTGGAGACTGAGCTCACTACCCACAGAATGGGGAAGAAAGGCAGGGATGAGGGGTGTGTACATGTGAAGAGATGCCAGGCCTCTGGTAGATACCTTGGATAAATGCTTATGGAAACATGTCGCTGCAACATGGCAGATCCATATGTACTGTAAGGGGAAAAGCTGCTGAATAGTCTAAAAGCTTGGCTATTACTTGTGTAAAACTCACATTCTGTTACTCAGTGTAGTTTCAGTTAAGTTCAGAGGTCATAGAAAGCCAGTGAACAGTGCCTTCCACCTATTTTAAAATCATAATTGCTATTTTAACTGAACAGCTACACTGGGACACCTCCCCCAATGTGAGTGATGAGAGACTGGAGAGCTGCCCAACAGGAAGAGATCTGGTGGCCTGAGTCGATGGCAAGTTGGTCAACAGTGCGCCCTGGCAGCCAAAAGGGCCAACTATGCCCTGGGTTGCATCAAGCACAGCCAGGTGGTTGAGGAATGTGATTGTCCCACTCCAGACTGCACTGGTACAGTCCCACCTCAAGTCCTGTGTGAAGTTTTGGGTGCCTCAATATAAGAAGGACATCAAAGTACTAGAGGGTGACCAAGATGGCACAAGGTCTGGAGGGCAGGACTTAGGATGAGTGGCTAAGATCACTTGGTTTGCTCCACCTGAAGAAGGCTGAGAGGGGTGACCTCATGCCAGTCTACATGTTCCTCAAGGGGGCCAGCAGAAGGGGAGGTGCTGATCTCTCTCTGGTGACCAACAATAGGTCACAAGGAAATTGAGTGAAGCTGTGGAAGTTCAGATTGGACATCAGGAAAAAGCTGTTCACTGAGAGGGTTGTCAGTCACTGGAGCAGGCTCCGCAGGAAAGTGATCACAGCACCAAGCCTGTCAGAGTTCAAGGAGAGTCTGGATGACACCCTTAGTCCTATGGTTTAGTTTCAGGTAGTCCTGTGAGAAGCAGGGAGCTGGACTTCATGATCCTTATGGGTCCTTCCAACTTCAGATACTCTGTGATACTATGACCCACAATTTGGCTGGAGAAGCCTGAAATGCAGTAGGTTCTGGCTTCTCTTCCCATACAGCTAACACCTGCAGCCAGGTGGTTGAGGAATGTGATTGTCCCACTCCAGACTGCACTGGTACAGTCCCACCTCAAGTCCTGTGTGAAGTTTTGGGTGCCTCAATATAAGAAGGACATCAAAGTACTAGAGGGTGACCAAGATGGCACAAGGTCTGGAGGGCAGGACTTAGGATGAGTGGCTAAGATCACTTGGTTTGCTCCACCTGAAGAAGGCTGAGAGGGGTGACCTCATGCCAGTCTACATGTTCCTCAAGGGGGCCAGCAGAAGGGGAGGTGCTGATCTCTCTCTGGTGACCAACAATAGGTCACAAGGAAATTGAGTGAAGCTGTGGAAGTTCAGATTGGACATCAGGAAAAAGCTGTTCACTGAGAGGGTTGTCAGTCACTGGAGCAGGCTCCGCAGGAAAGTGATCACAGCACCAAGCCTGTCAGAGTTCAAGGAGAGTCTGGATGACACCCTTAGTCCTATGGTTTAGTTTCAGGTAGTCCTGTGAGAAGCAGGGAGCTGGACTTCATGATCCTTATGGGTCCTTCCAACTTCAGATACTCTGTGATACTATGACCCACAATTTGGCTGGAGAAGCCTGAAATGCAGTAGGTTCTGGCTTCTCTTCCCATACAGCTAACACCTGCTTTCAGCCATTGTTGGGAGGATATTTAGGATCTAGGAATTCTGCACTTGAAATAAGGCTTCCTTAAACCAGAGAAATTTCTACCTAGGACACTCTGGCCTAGTTGTTTCAGGACTACAACAGGAATGCAGAGGCAGGGGGAAGGGCATCAGGCAGGAATCAAACTACTGTCAAAGTCCTTCAACTTACTACCAGCTTAAAAATCTGCCAAAGCCAAAAGCTGACACAGCAGTACTAACTAGGGCTTGTGAAAACAATCACATTTTGGTAATATTAATAGCAAAGACACCTATCTTCTACGGTGATACACCTCAATAACTAAACATTTTTTTTCCTGTGTATCAATGTTGTGATCAAGCAGGATATTGGCACTGTGCCACCCACTGCACTCAATGTAAACATATAGATGGTCACAACTGGTTTTATTTACAGGTTTTCATGCACAAAAACTGATGTCTTATTCTAAAATTATATAAAAAATATTTAAGGATGACATCACATAGTTCCATGAACAACAATGAAAGAAGAGGAGCATATTAAAAAGCTTAACTAAGAACAGCAGATACTTGAATGGAGATAAAGCTAACAAAACAACCATTTTTTATCACTGATTACAGGGCTAAAAAGCAGTTAAAGTCTCCAGGTGAAGAATGGACATCCGCAGAAGAGCCAACCCTTATTCCTTGATATTTTGAAGTAGCCTTAATAAATGAGACTCAATAACCTGTTGAACTAAAGCAGAGAAACAAATTGAGTTAAACAGTGTTCAGTGTTTTTTCACATCTTTAGCAGATGCCAGCTTGTCCTGTAGAATCATTTAGTAGAAAACAGACGGAATAAATTCACGCTGGGAAGAGCATTTGCATCTCTTAAGAAAGTAAGAGCCTCATCTAATACAAAAGCTGTACACCTGGTAAGGATCATTTTTTGAGGTGATGATTTGTTCTTGTTTGAATAGGCAGATAGCACATAGAAAGACATTTTTAAGCCCATAAAAGGAAATTTGGCAAAAACTTCTATTAGAAACTACTTCTGTGAACATTTTGAGATTGAACTCTTGAAGTAGTCCTTTATCTAGAGATCTCTGAAGGTACTGCCCCTCCGTAAGCACAGGGCTCTGCTTGGAGAAGCTACATGTGCAGTGGTGGGCTTATTTTTGGATTCACTTCATTTCTGTAATGGCAGACATATCACAGCTTTCAAAATGAAGGCAGTATGAGGGAACACCAATGAAGAGTCCCTTCTTTGCCTCTGTTTTCCAGAATCAAGTAAGGTAGCTTAATTCACTGATCCTGGTACTATTACTGTCTGCCTTCAAGATAAACTAGAGCTATAGCTAGTCTGACAGTGGAAGAAGGTCTTGCAAACTACATCATTTTGTGCCAGCCAGCAGAGCACCAGCGTGAGGGGTTCAGGAGGGCTGCAAGCCTCTCATTGTCTACTGCAATACACACTCCTCTGTAGAGGACAGGGAGCAGCTCAGCTTCTCTTGTCTGAGATGATGGCTGCATCAGCCCTGCATACCATAATTTGTGCCTGCAGATGCTGACCTAGGTCTGTGCCATTTCCTTACCAAGTACCTCGTTCTCCAAGATGGAGGTGGAAGCTCCTACTCATTTTGGGCATATTCATTTATGTGTATTCAGACTTTTAGGACAGGGATATTCTTACAGCTGCAAAACCTCCTCAAGGCCATTACAGCAGCTACAACCACAAGCAGCAGTAAAAATAAAAATCCCAGAATTTACATTTTCAATACTTACCACTCCGATAGCCCAAGGCTACAGCCAAATCCATAGAATTATAGCCAGCATCTGTTTCAATAGTTGGATCAGCACCACTTTCTATGTAAAAGAGGAAAACTAACTCATATTTTTGAAGGTGAGAACTGGTAAGTTCATTATTACTGATAATTCAGTTTGGACAGTCTGCTTACCAAGGAGAATTTTCACACATTTCACATGGTTTCCATGTACAGCATATAGTAGAGGTGTGCCTCCATTCTGCAAAAGCAGGGAAAAGCCTTAGACACTTAATGCTTGAGCAGTCTACAACTGTAATTCCTTAATTCACTAGTATACATCTATGTATATCAGTAAGAGGCATCACAGGTTTTATAAAAACAAGGTTCTGTTTTGGTTATTCACAGCTTTCATCCTCGTTTTTTTGTACACTGTTTAGACTGTAAGCTCACCCTTCTACAAGGATTCAGCATCAGTGTCATTCTTTTTTCACCAGGAAGTCAGAACTAGTAGGGCTAACTTCTTTTATCCCAGGGGAGTTTCAAAACTCAGAGTAGAACAATTTTCAAAACCAAGTCCATGCTACGCCCCATTTCAAATTTCTGACCAAAGCACCCTCCTACATAAAAACAAGTTAGAATCTTACCCAGTCATACTCATTGACATCAACTCCACAGTCAAGCAGCATTTTGACAATATCTGTGTATCCTTTACTGCAAGCCAGTGAGAGGGCACTTTCACGCCCTTTCCCCAAAATTTGAGGATCTGCACCCTGAAATAATAATAATATATCAAATTAACAACATTTTTTGAAATGTGACGTTTTACACAGAACTTAACTTTAAGAGTTTTAAGTATATAGCAGCATTGACAAACTTAAGAAAGCAAATTGAACTAAAAAGCAAATACATTTAAAATGAAATGTGGTTTTTTTCCTTACGTTCTGGAGGAGAAATTCCACTATTGCTATCTGCCCGTGAGCTGCAGCCCACATCAGAGGGGTAAATCCTTCTTCATCCTTATGATTGATTACATTTTCTGTTTAAAGAAAAATATGCAGTTTAGTAATCTCTTTCACTGTATGAGCTGGTGAAATATGCTGATGTATCCGTGGTGAAGGGACTGAGGTAAGTTTGTCCTACATGTCACTCTCATCTTAACTCTAACAAATAAAATTCTGTGCCAGTGGTGGTGCAAAGATCTTTGTCCAAGAAAGAAAAAAAATAAACCAACTGACTGATGTAAATTTTAAGATTTGGATGTGGTTGGTTTTGTAGGGTTTTTTTACGTTCTATAAATCAAGCCCTGTTTTTACTCAGAAATGTTGTAAATTGTCTGTAGTCTGCACCTTTCCTTTGCAAAGAGAAGGGCTGCTTGAAAAATAAAGAGGTACATTCTGCATTATACTGCTGAAAGTATATTTTTCAATAGAGTGAGCCACACAAACTTGTAAAGCAATGTGGCTAGTATAACACTATTTCCCTCAAAGTCCATGTCATCAATAGGGTGTTTTGTGGAAACAATTACGGTCTACTTCTAGTGCAGCTCAAAGAAGGAAAAGTAACTTTTAACAGCTAACTCACTTATGGACCTATATAGCTGGGGAGCAGGGAGGGGAAATTATTTACCTACAGCTCCTGTCAATGCTTATGTTCCACTTAAAATCCAAATCATAGCAACGAGTGAATAAAAGACTGATGTTAAACAATAGTCTACATCCACAAATGAAAGATAACTGAAATATCCTTCGATTTGTACCAGAATTGAGAGCTTCTTTCAATATAGCTTCAGGGGAATAGTCAAGCACGACAGGGTATAAATACTTCAGAGACCAAAGAAGGCATTTAACCTCCCTCTGCCTCACCTTGTTCAATACGTGTGGCCAGATACAACATTTCTCCCTGAGCAGCCAGCTGATGAACTGATAATGCTGCAAAAAGGGAAGCAAAAGCACGTTATACACACCAGCATTTCTCCTGCTCTCTTTGAAGCTGGGCATGATACATCCATTGACTTGTGCAGTACAGAACTTGGATTTCAGACCATAGAAAGGTTGCACCTTATACTCTGACCTGGAGTAAGTGTCTTAAAAACGGAAAAGTTTCCACAGAGTTTGATACATTTAGGTGATTTTTAACCAATGTATAAATCATTCTAGAAAGCAAAGATTCTTTCTACACTGACTCTTCACAAGGCAACATGCTCTCTTCTCTGCTGCTTGGTCAGCAACCCAAGATCAGATTAAGAACTTTTATCAAATAAAAATATGCTTTTGATAAATTAAGGCTATGTAACTGAAAAATGGCACAGAGCTCTGCACAACATGACATCTACAGGTGAACAAAATTATTGCATTTAAAAAAATAATACTTTAACAATGTACCAAGCACTAAGAGCAGAATAATTTTCAAGAGATTACAAAGAAAAAATCTCTGATCTCACAGTAAACTCCACATGCATGGTGCATGGTTTTGCTAACTGCAACTTGAAGCAGGTCTGAAATGTGCTCAGGAGGGAATATATAGCATTATATAATAACAAAATTAGCCAATAATTACAAAATATGCAGATGTTCACTGTCCTCTTCCTAATCACTACATGAAACTTTTTTGTCAGAAAACTGCACATTTTGTTCAGAGGTCTATGCTGCAGCTCCAGATTAAATTTTCCCATGCAAGCATTTTTTTTTTTTAAATTAGACTTGCAATTCAGAGGAAAGAATTTCTAGATCAATTAAATTACAGAGAAATAATTAATTAAGAAAATGCTTATCAATTAAGAATTACAAAACCCCCTAAATATTGCCTTCTTGACTTTCAAGATCCTTGACAATCATGACAATTGTAGTAGTCTGTATCTCTTACCAATCATCTATTTTTATAAAATTTTACAAGATGCACCAGTTCTAAAATGAAGTATAAGAAGCACACTAACTTACAGCTCAGAAAGGATCAGAAAATCTATTTTTTAAATCAATAATCTGATCTTTTCAGGAAAATGCATTTCAGTCATGAATTCAACAGAACAGGTGGATTACTATTTTGTGTTTGGAACCATATTAAATTAGACAAGACTACCTCAATGCTTTTTTCCTATATTAATGTTCATTACAACATGAAAGAAATAAAAATAATCAGAAAAAAACTGTCAAGCATCTAACAAAGTTCACAAAATAATTAACAATAAGGTGAAAGTATACTTACAGTTTACAAGCAGAGGTGTTGTAGAGACTTCATTTCCTCTGTGTTTGTTAGTTAGTGTAGTTGATTGTTTTATTGGTGAGAAATGCTTAGTAGTTGATGGAGTATAAACATGTCTCACTTGGATACCAGGGGAAGGAGAAGTGTGGATGTTGCATTCAGCTACATTGAACAGACAGAACAGACAGGATTTTAGTACTACTAAGAGCATTGAAAGAATACCACAAATTCTAAGTCAAACCAGAAAGCACCAGTATCATAAGATCTTTAAAATCCATGTTAAGTAAGCTGTATTACATGTGCTTTTCCCACTGTGTATTTTGAAAGTTGAATAAAAAGCTGTATTAATTTCTGGTACAAAACAATACTGTGAGCCCACAGTTTCAGTCTGGTACAATGTCCCTTGGAGACAGGTTGGTGTCCAAGTGAGCTAAGCCTGTGTCCAGACTTTCAACATGCCTGGCATGGATTTACTGGGCAGGATGGCTCCATTTAGCCTGATGTACCCTCACTAACACTCTCCAGTGAAGTAATACAATGCAGCTCTGGTGAGCTATGTAGTCAGTTAACTGCTCAGCTCACCCCTCTGCCCATGCTAATCAGTCCAGTGCACAAGTGGAGATGACCTTCACTAATTTTCTTCACCAGGACTTCTTCCACTCCTGTTGGATAAAATTGTAACTGCATTATAGATGCTTTATTAATATTTATCCAGCAGGAAGAGAACTATTCCACACTTACATAAAATGCAAAAGCAAGTCACTACTCAGAATTCAAGACGTCATTCAGTGATGGCTGTGTTCATTTGTACTAACCTTTTTAGCTTTCTATTGGCTATATTGATTTTGAAATCAGCATGCACTAATAATTAATGATGGAGCTAAGCAGCACGCACATTGAATTCACGCCATCGAGAACTTAATAAACATAATTATGAACATAATAAACCCAAGTGCAAATTCTGGGAGAGAACCAGTTAAAAGTAGAGTAACAGGATGAAAACGAAATTACATTTTTACTGTCAATCAAATAGCTACAGCTGACACAACCAAATTAAGAGACCTACCAGGGATCTTTGACCTGCAGTCCCTGATCCACACATCTACTTCTAAGGGGTTTCCAACTGTCACCCCAAAAAAACAACCCTATCAATGATGGGTCTAAATTAGCCATTCAGGTCTGCAGCTCCACTAGTAAGCATTTAGAGCCTGCAAATCAAAAGGTTGAAAATTACAATGGCTGAACTGCTGGCAAACAGTACAAATCAGAGAAATGTCCAAAATCCACAACAGGTCAGTGGTTTTGTTTCCTATAGGAAATGGGTCAAATTCCACCTGGTGAAGACACATTAGTAACAATCTGAAATGTTACAGTGAACACTGGAGACCCCAACTATTAAGGGGAAACAGACAAAAGTTCTAATTCTGTTGTCTGCTCAGCCATGAAAAAGCACAGATCAAATGTGATGAAGCTGCCCAGCAATGGCTGGAGATGAGCTGCAGGGATCCCAAACTGCAGCAGCATCTGCCTTCCAGAGGTGTGAAGTGAAGGGGGGAGCCTGTTGCTGCCACAGCCACAGGCTTTGTACAGCCATACTGGTAAAACCAAGCCAACTGCACAGCCTACGCCTTTTTGTCACTACACCAGTGAAAAGGCAAAACATGCTGCAGAAAGCTGCTGAAGTTGAAATGACCATATGGTGCCTTCAGCAGTGCTCTGCAAAGGCAAATACATTCAACAGCGTGCAGCATGGTCTAGGGCATGCTACAGAGAATAAGTAAGCTTGTTTTCATGCTCATTATCAGCTCTTCCTAAATTAAAAAAAGATTTCTTTGTGTGACTGCTTTTCAATTAAAAAAAGGAAAAAAAAAGAATGTGATTTAAAAAATAATCCCAGAAGAAATTAATTTTACGTTAACAAACCATTAGGCAGGTAATAAACATGTTAGGGGAACTAATATTTGAAAACTATAACTGGTTACAGACACATAAGGCAGAGGCTTTTTTATATATAAAAAACCCAACTTCACAGGATGACATACTCCACACAAAACAAGTTGCACCATAAAGTTCAACCTTTAAATAACACAGATGCCACTTCAAGGTCAGAGTTAACTTGGTCTTGAATATTTTTACTGTCCTCCTCATTCAAAGATTTCACAAATCGTGAGCAGACATTCATGTCAAATCTATTGGGCAAAATGAATTTCATCCCCATGGCAACATTCTGAGCTGGGCCTTCCTCCGTGCCAGAGTCAAGCTGGTGCTCCACTTTAATGTCCGGCATGGGCGGAAGGCTGTAGCTGGTGGGACATTCTTCTAAAATTAACTGGGCCCCAGCATCCAAGTTTGTCGAAGATGCCATGGTCTTGGTCCTGTCAAAGGTTTATGCACAATGTCTCTTCATAGTTCCCAGCCAAGTGCAGCTCTGGCTGTATGTAAAGAGTTCCAGATGTTTCAAAGACCTGCAACTGAGCACACGTTGACATAGGTTAACACCATTTTGGTCAAAACCTTGGTGAAATCTAAGTCTTAACTGCTGTCACAAGCTATTGGCCTAATCCTCAACTTGGATTTTAACACATGGATATTCAAGCCAAATCCTGTAATGAACTCCTGTAGGAGTTTCACCCAAGTGAAAATTCAGAACATTAGCCTAGTTGCAATTTAAAAAAACCAAAACCACAACCAACCACATTTATACCACGATGGGAACAAGCTGTAAGGAGGTTATTTTCTTGCCTAAAAACATTAAACTTTCAAGGAAAAGTTAAAGAAGCTTTACGAGCCTTCGTGGCTCGAAGTTCTTTCATAACCCGGGTGAAACAAACGGCTTCTCCCACACAGGCAGGAAAACAATACACCCTCTGCTAAACCGGCGACAACAAACCACCCCAGAACACCGGGGGCAGGCTCGCAGGAAGCCGAGGGCCGGGCCGGGCGCTGCGGCCGGCGGGGCGGCCTGG